AATTTTCTACTTAAAGATTTTAAAATTTTGAAGGTTGTATCTCATTCTTTCTTTATTTTTATTCTCCACTATTACTTCATTTGCATGCTGCAACCAAGGTATATTTTCCTTTTCTATATTTCTCTTTACCATCTCAAACTATTTCTTAGAGTTTTTCATTTATTTTCTCTATATCTGATTTAACATTTAGTATCTATAAACCAGTCAGAACAGAACTTCTTTAACTTAAGAAGCTTTTTACTCTAATTTACCAATACCCTTCTGAGATACGTAAACATCACAGTCTTCATGCTATAAGATTGTGGGGTCTCATATTACAGAGACTTAGATAAATATTGACATGGAGAGCATATTACTCTAGTTCTGTAATTTTGGCCACAAATCCAGAAACACAGAACACAAGGAACACAAAAATTCTGACTAGTCCGTATATCAAGGAACTATTCTTCCTGATAGACGTGGCATTCTTAATTGATTTGACCTCAGTGTGTTGTTGCTGTCAAGTCAACTCCCCACCTCATGGTAACTCCATGCACAACAGAATGAAACACTGCCCAGTCCTACACCATCTGCATGGTCCCATAGGGTTTTCATTGCCTTATTTTTCAGAAGTCGATTGCTAGACCTTTCTTCCTTGCCTGGTAGTTACACTGAAACATATTTAGCATCATAGCAACATGCAAACCTCCATTGACAGATGAGTGGTAGAATAGATCTCTATAATCTCTGAATCCATTTACAGAGTTCACCATAAAACTAAATTCCAGTCATTGGAACTACCAGTGAGGAATAACTTATTGGGTATAAACAAAATAAAGAAAAACACAAAATCAGTAAAACAGAGAAGAAAGCTACAGAAACAAAATGCCAGCAAAATTCTGTTACCCCTTAGGAGTCATTTCTCAGGACTTAACCCTGGATTGGATATAAGCCTTGATCCTCCCACACAAGGTTTACTTCTCCCACAATGCAGGTGAATCCATTGGGTATCTCAGTGGGACGTCCAGAACTCTTAAAAGATAATTTTTTAAAAGTAAGCATAATTCTAATAAAATTATCAAATGAACACATGTCAAAGATTTTACTTAATCCATTAACTAATTAAGGAGCTCCAGTGGCATTAAGGAGTGCCTAAGGCATTTGATTGCTAAACAGAAGGCTTATAGTTCAAACCCACCAGCCACTCCGCGGAAGGAAGACTGGGCAGTCTACTTCCGATTTATGGCCTTGGAAACTCAAAGGGGGTCACTATGAGTTGGAATCGACTATATGGCAGTGAGTTTGGTTTTTTGAGTTTTAGTAATGTAACTGGTTTAAAGGAAAAGTCAAAGAACCATACTCATAGGCAAATAAGGAATGCTGAAATGACTTTAGAAATAGATGCAAAACTGGTTTTTTCCATAGGGGGAAAGGAAATAAATTATCTCTCTAGCAGACAATTCATTTGAATATCTGTGTTCAAGAGTCTTTGCATTGCTATCAATTATCTACAGTTTTATTGTTGTTATTAGTTGCTCTTAAATTGGCTCAGACTCATGACATTCTTAGTATAACAAGAAAATGTTGCTCCTTCCTGGGTCATTATAGTGGTTGGTGTATTTGAATCCACTGTTGCAGCTGTTGTGTCAGTCCCAATCTCTTTGAGGGTTTCCCTTATTTTCATTACCAAACATGTCTTTTCTAGCAAGTGGTCTTTCTGGTGACGTGTCCGAAGTTAGCGAGCTGGAGTCTTGCCATTCTTGCTTCTAAAGAGCATTCTGGTTGTATTTGTTCTTTAGAAGACTGATTTGTTTGTTCTTTTGGCAGTCCATATTCAGTATTCTTCACTAACACCACAGTTAGAGTGCTTTAATTTTTCTTCTTTATTTTTCACTATATACCTTTCACATGCATATAAAACAATTTGAATAACCATGACTTGGGTCAGAAGCAGGAACTCTGGTGGCGTAAGGCATTTGACTGCTAACCAGAGGCTGGCAGTTCAAACTCACCAGCCACTCCTCAGAAGGAAGATTGGGCAATCTACTTCTGTAGTGGTACTGCCTCAGAAACCTAAGGAGGGGTTGCTATGAGTCGGATCCAATTTGACTGCGTTTGTTTTTTTTGTTGTTGTTTGGGTCAGAAACAACTTAGTTTACAAAATTGTAAATAACTAAGACAATGAAATATGAAAATAACCATGAATGGTTAACACCTAGTAATCTTTTTTTACTTTTTTTTTAAGTTCAAAGCCTTCACAATTTTTCTCAACAGTGTATTTTATAAAGAAGAGAAGAAGAAAATGAACTAGTCCTCCTAAATGCGACAACTTAATGCTGTACATAACACCATAAACTTTCAACAATTAAATCAGAATATTGGTGTACAAATAGACATTCAGGTTAACGTAATGTATTGAAAACTTCAGGGGGGAAGAGTCCTTATATAGGGATTGCATATAGGTTTTGTTTCAAGTTGAGACTCTAGTTGATGGCTCCTTGGAGATGTGTTGGGTAGGACTTCTGAGATAATTTTTGGGTAAAGAAAGCATGCCAAGATTGTTTAGAATTGTGTGTTAAAGGTGGAGGTAGTAGTGTCTTTTTTATAAACTTTTTAAAAAATGTCATCTGTGTGTCCTTGGATGATGCAAATGGTTAACAGGCTTAGCTGCTAACTCTAAGACTGAAGGTTTAAGTGTACCAGTGACGACTCAGAAAAAGTCTGGCAATCTACGTTCGTACAATCGAACATTGAAAACCCTGTGGAGCACACTCTGACACACATGTGGTCCCCCTGAATTGAGTTTGAGTCCATGGTAACTTCTTAATCTGTAGAGAAAGGGTAAGAACAACTCAACACAAAAACTGGAGGGGTAGGGGTCAGTTTAGATCCTAACCTCACAGTGTATACTAAAATAAATTATAGATGAATTCAGTAGTTAAATGTAAAACATTTTGAAGATGGTTAAGAAAATGGTTCTGTTACTTAAGAATTAAAAAAGCTTTCCTCAGCACAAAAGTAATGAAAATCATTGTAAAGAATTAGATAAATTCATTTGATTAAATAGGAAATTAAATCTGTAGATCATAATATGAAATAAGCAAACAATCGAGAAAAATATTTGCAGCAACTACAACTTAATAGTTTAAACAGTTAATGAACTTAATAGTTTAAACACCCAAAGTGCTCATAGATGTTGATGACACAAACAGAAAGTGAGAAAAACAGTTAAGTTGATAAATGAAAGGATCAAGCATTCGTCCTTCCTTCTGTACCACGTTACGGAGTAGATATGAGGAATTTAATGTTCCAACTTGAAGATTAAGAAAGAATGCTAGCATTTCACCATTTTTCAATCTGCAATGGATAGTCTAAGCATTTGATGTTGTTGTTGTTGTTATTTGCCGTCGAGTCAGCCCCGACTCATATTAGTAGTTGCTAACATCACAAAAAGGAACTCAACCAGACATGTATTTCCTGAGAATTTTTTCCTCTCCTCCTCAACTATATAGTGATTTTAGCAAAATAAGCTAATTAATTGATGCTTCTCAAGCTAGATTCAACCAGTTTACAGGAAATTTAGAACACCAAACAAAATATTAAGAAAAGCCACAGGGATACAGTTGGCAAAGTTTAGTCTGTAAGAAGCTCTGTGGGACAAATTACTGGGTTTCACAAATTTTCAGGAGTAATAATTAGAAGGAAATTAAGGAAAATAATTTTTTGGTGTCCAACTCACAGCCCCTACGCTCATCTATGCACTGTAGATTAATCATCCCCTTCTAGGGAATTATTTATAGAGGGAAAATCACATTTTAGGAATAAGTAACATCCTGCTAAGTCTTAGGGTTGAACTATGGAGGTTAGGCTAAGTCTTAGGGTTAGAATTATGTAGAGAAAAGGCTTTAAGACTCATGATTTACTAATTTAATATTTTAGATTTACCCTTTTAAATCTGTTCCTAGAAGTTGTTTTTGGCCTTAGGGTATTTTTAGTACTTGTGAAAAATTTGATCATATTAATGTTCTGATCTTGTTAATTGTTGTTGTGTGTCATCGAGTCAGACCTGACTCATAGCGACCCCTCCTTAGGTTTCTGAGGCAATACCACTACGGAAGTAGATTGTCCAACCTTCCTTCTGAGGAGTGGCTGGTGGGTTTGAACTGCTAGCCTTCTGGTTAGCAGCCAAGTGCCTTAGGCACTATGCTACCAGAGCTCCTCTTGTTAATTAGTATGTCCTAAGATAGATGCAAATTCTTTCATTTTTTTACATTCATATAAATAATATTTATTCTCATAAGTAAAACATTGGCTAGAGAATAATCATATTGAAATTATTCTTGAAAATAATTTACAATTCTGTAATAACCATGGTCCAAATAATACAAAGTGATTAGTCAACTGAGGGTGATAGGAAGTAGGATGACAGAGACAGATGATGCTTAGAAATATAAACTCATAAAACTAAACTCACTGCCATCAAGTCGGTTCTGACTCATAGCAACCCCCATTGGGTTTCTGAGGCGATAAATCTTTACAGAAGTAGATTGCCCCATCTTCCTTCTGCGGAATGGCTGGTGCGTTTGAACCACCATCCTTCCTGTTAGCAGCCAAAAGCTGTAGGCACTATGCTACCAGAGCTCCTTATTTGGAAATAACCAGCTTTAAGTTATGAAGTAGACCTTTCATGTTATTGTATAAGGAGCCATGGTGATGCAGTGGTTAAACACTTGGCTGTTAACTGAGAGGTTAGTGGTTTGAATGACCAGCTGCGTCTTGAGAGAAAAGACCTGGCGATCAGCTGTAAAGATTACAACCTAGGAAACCCTGTGTGGCAGTTCTGCTCTGTGATATAGGGTTGCTGTGAGTTGGAAATGACTAGATGGCACACAACAGCAACCACAACCTCTAAATACCAGCCCGGCAGCATTTTTATAATACTCTTTCCATTTTGGGTACAAAGAAGGAGAAAAGAGGCTTGAGTATTTTTCTCTGTGCTCTTACTGAATTTGTGTGTTAATTTTCACTATCTTGATACTGATGTATTTTTTTTAATTGCAAAATAGCTCCCAACAAAAGCTGTGTGCGTCATATTACTTTTGTACAGCTATATTAAAAGGGAAAATAATTTTACTTTTATGAAATATTTACTCAAGAAGTTATATTTACTTCTTTTTAAGAATGACTATTCTTTTTTTTTTCAAGTTGATTCATTTTTATTTATTTTTATTGTGATTTGGGTGAAGATTTACAGAGCAAATTCACTTTCCTTACAGCAGTTCACATATACTTTGTCTCATGACATTGACCACAATTTACTACAGTGCAACAGCTCCCCTCCCACTTCCTCCCGATAATTACCTCTTTCCTGTATCCATCCCAGAATGAATATTCTTAACTTTTATTTTCTTCTGAGCTATTAAAGCTTCTCTCCATTTTCACATCATCTTCAGTTTGAACTGAGTATATTGAGAAAATAAAAATAGATAATAGAATTAGTGTGCTGGTCAGAAGAAAGACTTGTAAACTTACCAGATGCTATGCTTGTATTTATGGGATTATTTAATATATAACATTTGGTCAGTCTCAACCCCATGGATGAGAAGTCTACTTGCTTAAGTTGGATAATTCAAAGATAGGGAAAAGCGTATTTGAGGCCATCCAAGACAAAACAGTTGGCCAGTAGAAATTGGCCAGGAGATAGAGGAAAACTGAGTCAGGAATAGGAGGAGGAAATGAAATATGAGGCTTATTACTTCATGAACAAATGCTTCCTTTGCCATGAGACCAGAAGAACTGGATGGTACCCGGCTACCATTACTGAACATTTTGATCAAAGATTCCATTTGAATCCTGATCAAAAGAGGGGAAATACAGAACGAAATATCAAATTCTCATGGACTCTAAACTTTCTAGAGCCATCGGGGCTTTATGAACCTCTGAACTATTGCCATGAGATAGTCTTTGAATCTTAAACCAGAAATATCCCTTGAAGTCTTCTTAAAATCAAACAGTAGTTTAGCTTAACTAATAAAAATTATTTACCTTGAGCATCATGCTCTTTTAAGAACTATCTATATGGAGTCAAATTGACAACATGAACTAAAAAGATTAGATAGGAACTGTGAGGGGGGTGGTGGCAGTGAGTTTATGTTAATAGAGGAAGACAGACTCAGGAAGGGAGGATGAAAATAATTGTACAACTCAAATACAATTGTCACTGAATTGTACATGTAGAAGTGGTTGAATTGCTGAATGTTTTGCTTGTTTATTGTCAACACTGAATTAAATTTTTCTTTTAAAAAGCATATTTGATGCTCTGAAAAATGTGATATAAATCTCAGATTTTAATTTTTTACATGTTGTTGGTTTTTGTTTTGTTTTTTTTTTCTTAAGATTATGAAGACTATTTCTGTGTAAAAAGAATTTTCTCAGGCGGAGATCAAAGCTTTTCACATTACTCTAGTCCCCAGGTAACAATATGGTCATATAAATTATTACTAGGCTCAAATAATTTTGAAGAATTTTAAAACCCATTTTAGGAGACATGTATTAATATTCTTTATGTATTAAAAAATAATTGCTTTTTTTTTTTTTTTTTATTGTAATTTGTGTGGAAGTTTACAGAGCAAATTCATTTTCCATACAGCAGTTCATACACATTTTGTTTCATGACATTGACTGCAATTCTGCACAATGTAACAGCTCTCTTCCCACTTCTTCCCCATAGTTACTTCTTCCCTGTGTCCTTCCCTCCCATGTACTCCCGCCCCCTGAGCTGTCTCCCTGTGCAAACACCATCCTTTTGTTGTCCCACAATTGATAGCTCCAAGGAGTGTATCTACCTGATGTAAATGTTCACCCCATATGCCTCTTTGTTGTTTGGCTGGAAGCCACAGGAGTGAGTTCAGTTCCAGACCTGAAGGTAACTAGGGACCATAGTCTCAGGGTTCTCACCAGGCTCCATTAGACCAGCAAGCCTGGTCTTTTTTTTTTTTTTCCTTAAATGATTCTGAGTTTTCTTCCACATTGTTTTCCCCCTCTATCCAGTATCTCTTGCACCAATCCCCCTCCAAGTGGTTGATAGTGGTAGCCTGGCACCATCTAGTTCTTCTGGTCTCATGGTCATAGGCTGAGGATCACATGGTCTGCCAGTCCCTTGAACTAATTGTTTCCATGCGTCTTTGGTTTTTTTCATTCTTGTTTGCTCTGGAGGAGGAGAGACCCATTGTTGCATCTAGATGCTGTTTGCAAACTTTGGAGACCCCAGTCAGTACTCACCAAAGTAGGGTGTAGAACAGTGTTTTTGTGTTATGCCACTTGAGCTTGATGTCCCCTGTGACCGCAGTCCTGAGCCCACAGATCCAACTACTCACTCCCTCTGGGTAACTGGCTGTGGCCAAGAAGCCATCACAACCTTGCCCCTTGTCAGCTCTACTATACACCTGGACATTCTTATAGCTTATACAACTGCGCATGTGGAAACATTGTCTGCTAACCCTGTACGTGGTCATGAGCACACACACCCTGCCTAGACATACCTGCTTGTTCAGCCTGTCCATCCAACTATCCACTCAGAGATCAGTGCTTGCCATCACTGACAGTGCATTACTGTACATACAAAAGGGTTCATCCTTGTTGTCTGTACCTCCCATATACCTCTCTATGTCTTCCTCTTCCTCAGTGCCATTGTGTTGATCACTCACTTACGGTGCATTGCTCTTCTTCCCTCCACCCAAATCGATACTTGTCTCTACCAGACGTAATTGCTTTATAAAAATGCTTTATCTTAGATCTGTAAAACAGAATATTTTCTGTTTTTAGTTTAGTAGCTCTGGTGGCGTGGTGCCTAAGGCATTTGACTGCTAACCAGAAAGCTGGTGGTTCAAATCCACCAGCCACTCCTCAAAAGGAAGATTTGGCAATCTACTTCCATAGTGATACCGCCTCAGAAACCCAAGGAGGGGTTGCTGTGAGTCAGATTCGACTCAAGGGCAGTGAGTTTGGTTTTTGGTTTAGTTAGTTATTCTGCTTTAAAAAAAGATACGAGAACTTGGTGTTGGTTCTAAATTATTTGTAGTATCTTCTTTCCTCTTTGATCTGCTTATTTTAAATTTTAGAACTGTGGGCCACCAGATGACTTTAGATGTCCTGATCCTTCAAAGCAGATCTGGACTGTAAATGAACCTCTAGTTCAAAAATGGCTGAGCTACCCCTCTGGAAGGTTTCCTGTGGAGATAGCCAAGTAAGACAAACATTCTACCTACACAAACAGATATGAACAGAGTCTCATGTACCACCCCTAAATATAGAGCAACCTTTATTTTGGGTTTTTCATTTAAATATCACTAACTGGTTTGCATACAAATGTATAAATGTCTATAATTTCCATATTATTCGATACTTTTAAAGATCTCATTTAAATATAACTACTTTAGGACTGGGTTTTGAAATGTGTTCCTTCTGACTTCATAGGGATCAAGAGCTAGCTGTCTTTTAACTTTTATATCACTTGGATGATGTGTATAGTATTTCTTCATGAATAATTTGTTTATAGATTAACTTATTTAGTAGTTAGGATTTTATTTGTTAATTTGTTTTTTGATGATAGTGGTATTTGGGAAAGGAGCCTTTGATAGGCTGTTTTTTATCCTCATTATTTTTCCAAATTAAAGTTTTTCTGAAAAGTTCAACAAGTAGGCTTCAAAAGCTAACATCCCAGATTCAGTTTACCACTTAATGGAATTTAAAACTTAAATGTGCATGTTTATGTTAAAAAAAAATTTTAATATATAACAATTTTTTTAACGAGTATTTCATTGCTTTGATGAATCAGGTTGAAAATAATATTTGAGAACATCTAAGATAATAAACTTTATCAAATACTATTTATCAGTTTTTTATTTTAGTTTTTAAAATATTTTTAAAGTAATTTAATTCATTTTAACTGTGTATGTAATTCTGACTTAGTCTCATTGGCTGTCAGAGGAATGCTCTGTTCCACTAAATATTAAACATTGATTTTAATTTCTATTCAAAAAAGAAAACTCAAGAGTTAAATTTATTATTTTGTGATTTTAATATTTTAGTGAGATAGATGGAACATTTTCTTCTTCAGGCTGCCTGAATGGAAGTTTTTTAGCTGTTAGGTAAGTAAGAATTCCTTGATATGCTGAAATGTTCAAATTTATTATATTAAATAAGTGAAATAATTTGTAATTAAATTGTATTAAAGGTATTATATACTTTTTTTTCTTTTTTAAAGCAATGATGATCACTATAGAACAGGTGCCAGATTTTCAGGGGTTGATATGACTGCTGCTAGGCTTTTATTCCACAAACTTATACAACCTGATCATCCTCAGATATCACAGCAGGTTTGTTTTTAAAATACAATATATTTGTATTATGTAGTCTGATACATTTTCATTCCATGTTAATGTATATGTTTATAGTCAAATAAATTTGACAGTTTCTTGACTCTTCATTTTGATATACTTTGTTATTATATTATATATTACCAGTATAAGAATTAAAATAATGAGGTTTCATTTTAAAGCATTTGTAATATAGCTGTCAGATATCTATAAATTTTTCCAAACATTTGTAATAAACTCTTAATTACTTAACATTACCATGTTGGTTAAGTGTTATATAGCTGTAGAGATGTAGAGAGTTTAAATTGAGATTTACACACAAGACTTTTTTGTGTTCTTGCATACTTGGATATTAACTTTGTGCTCCAAAGTATATTCATTGTTAAGACATTACCTTCATTTTTCTTCTTCATTATTTCACATTTACTGTAATACAAGATTTTCTTTTCTTTTTTATTTTGAAAGTGCATTCATTTTAAATGAAGTAGGTTTTACTTTTTGTCAAAATATAGGTGGCAGCTAGTTTGGAAAAGAATCTTATTCCTAAGCTGACCAGCTCCTTACCTGATGTTGAAGCACTGAGGTTTTATCTTACTCTACCAGAATGTCCCCTGATGAGTGATTCCAACAATTTCACAACAATAGCAATTCCTTTTGGTACAGCTCTTGTGAACCTAGAAAAGGCACCACTGAAAGTACTTGGTAAGAATTTTTGTATTATTTTCTTTTGAAATCTTTTCTCTTTAAATGAAAGTGTCCAAAAGTTCTTACTATTTTGCTGTTACAAATTTTGTTGCCCTGCTTATTTGACATTGTCTTAGGAAAAACTAAATCTGTTTCTGCTTTTGGTCCTTTATTCTCCTCATTTAATGCTAGTTATTGGAGGCAAAACATGTGAGATAATTAGAATTTTAATCAAACACAGCAGCAAGACAATGTCAGGAAAGATTAAGACTGTTTTTCATACCCTCATCCCCTGCAAAATAATTTTACTAGTAAAGTTGTAAGGTAAATCCTTTATGAAGTCTGATGTTAACCCTGTGCCTTATGTCTTCTTCACTTGCTGATGTTTGATTTTACTTCTTTGCATGGAGAAGAGATTCTACTGCTTACCTGATCTTGCAGTTATGTCTCTGTCTGCTCCAAGTTTTTGGCATAAACTTTTCTCACCTTGATTTTTCTACTTGTATGGATTCCAGCTCTGTCTCCTGGCATTTATAGTATGCTTGCAGCATTTAATCAAGTATTTTCCTTCCTAATAGTGTTTTCCAGATATGTGGAGCTGAGATATATAGAAGTAATAAAATCAGGATAAAAAGTTTTAGGCTGAGGCTAAGCGGAAGAGACAGTAGGCAAGGGGTAGAATCCAGGAATCCAAAGGAATTAGGCAGTAATACATGAATAAAGCAGGGACTCAAAAAGAGGATAGCTTCTCTCCTGTCAGATGTTTTTATATTCTTGCTCTCTGTTTCATAGGATTGTGGAGTTATTCACTGATGATAATAGCTACAAATAGTGAATCTGAGAAAGGATATATATATTAATAAATACATTACTCAGTTTCTTTGTTTGATTTATAGGAGTACCTTGCATTTTTAAAGATAGTACTTCTCAGTATTTCAACTTTATGTTAAGTGAACTTGAGATTAAACTTGGAAATATAATTTCAAGCGTGTTTCGTTGCAAATTCTAATATACAAAATACTTTTTTTATAGAACTGATTTTAATATTAGGTGTAAATTTTTAGTATAATTTAGGAAACTAAGAATGTGTATTTAATAGGCCTTTCATACTTTATTTTTTGAGCCTTTAGGATGCATATTCTTTTAACTTGGAGGGGGGTTTATAAACTTTAGAAAAGTTACTAAAAAAATGCTGTGTTATGTGCTTCTTCCTGGGATTTTCCAAGGGTTAAAAAAACCACTGCTTTAAAGGAAAGTCAGTATGATTTTAAAAATTGTGATTTTTTTTTTATTATTCATTTATTTGCATGTTCACCCTTTAATAACAGAAAACTGGTGGTCAGTACTTGAACCTCCACTATTCCTCAAGATAGTAGAACTTTTTAAGGAAGTTGTGGTACATCTTTTGAAACTCTACAAGATCGGCATTCCCCCTTCTGAAAGAAGAATTTTCAACAGTTTTCTTCATACTGCATTAAAGGTTTTAGAAATATTGCATAGGGTAGGTCCAATAGTTACTTTATTTTCCTCTTTCCACATTCCTACTAACAGATTGATAATTGTTCTTTTTAACATTAATATATTGTAGTTTCAGATTACCATAAATCTATAACATTTAAAAATTTATCATCTATACTTTTTCAAAAAAGAGGTTACATATCTGTAACTTTGGTCTCATTTGACTTTATTAGGCATGTATCTATAAACTTGTCTGTAGTTGGGGCAGAACAATAGCATACTAATGAATTAGAATTCTTACATCGTCTTATAAAGAACATAATCTGTTAGTTTAAATAATGTGTCTTTTGTATTAATAGGTGGTAATCATATGAAGAAGATTGGGTCCTAACTGTGATCATGAACATTTAAAATTACAGTCTTTCATTGTTGGCCACTCAAGGCCTAAATTAAAGTAGAACATTTCATTTGAAACAAATGGCTAACTTAAAATTGGAAGCATATATAATTCATTAATTTGCCTATTGTTCTTTCCTGCCCTTTTTCCCAGTGTAAGAAATAGTACCCTTTACACTTGTAGCAGTTCAGAGTTATATGAAGAAGTAGAGTCTCAGCTGTTCCATTAAAGATGGATTTGAGTCATCCCTGACAGCTGGTAGGTATATCTCTGTTACGCCATTTGGTATTCTTGGGATGCTATTTAAGTGTCCATGAGACATGACCTAAGGGAGAAACATGTTTTCAGTCTCTGGAGTGACTGAAAAATTCACATGAGCCTTTGATCTTTAGTTTCTTCTTAACATCTTCTTTACTGTTTCAGGTCCTTCTTGCTTAGTAGTAAGGTAAATGATGAAAGGATAAAGGAGATACTCTGCCAGAAAGAACCCTTATGTACCATTTACTTTTCTTTTTATTCTTTTAGTGAAATGCCTGGGTTTTTTTCCAGCTATTTCCTAAACTTACTTTTCTTCTTTGCATTTAGTATGTACAAGAATCCTAGAAAAAGTCATTTTCTCCTCATTATAATTGAAGAAATAATAGCCATTTATTTCCCAGGGAAACAGTCATTCTTATGTTTACCTTTTCCCAAAAAAATGTTTTCTTGCAGCATTAAGAAGATACTCTAATTTCATGTGATGGGTCTCCACTTTTCTGTATGCATTTTGCCTAGGATTCAGTAGATTAATTAGATTGTTTCCTTTCCTCTAGACTCTCTCTTCCTGCTGTTTTGGTGATATATCCATTTTTCAGCTGGATGCTATTTCCAGATAGTTACTTTATTCACTTACCTGTCCCTTCTGCTTATCTTTATTCTCCCTTTTAAAAAGTGCTTTTACCCTTTTAAAAATGTCTTTCTTTTACTACAAGAAAAAGGGAAGATAGACTGAGGGAAACTCCAAAAATTCACTGCCGACTCACAGCAACCCCTCCTTGGGTTTCCAAGTTAATATCTCTATGGAAGTAGATTCCCCAGTCTTCCTTTCAAGGAGTGGCTGATGGGTTTGAACTGCCAGCCTTCTGATTAGCAGTCAAATGCCTTAGACACTACATCACCGGAACTCCTAGATGGAGGGAAGGAAATTGAAACATTTCCATCATAACCATCATAACGACAGACAGGATTTGAGCTTAACTTAAGTTTCTGCTTAGCTCAGAAGCCTTGACCTCAACACTATAGGCTGGGAATGAACTCTATAGGTTTCCATCTCCAAAGTCCTTTTTGATAGAGCCATGGTAGATAAAAGGATACTAACTTTTTGCTAGTTGAAGGAGAAGGAAAAATAATCAACCATTATTGAATGCAAAACAGCAGTCAGCATTAGAACCTTCTTTGTACATTAACTCATGTAAGCACTTTACATATCTTGCTTATTTAACCTTTTTAACCCTGTGTGGTTGATATTGTTACCCCTTTTTGTAGATGGAAAATGAATCTTGATGTCCAAGATCATAAACCAGTAAATAGCTGAGTTGAAATCCAAATCTTCCAAAATCTTTGTTGTTTCTAATATTCTTTGATATCAGCAGCAGATGCAGTAATAATGTATCTAGCATGGGCTTGCTCTTAGGTCCTGAGGTTCATAGTTTCATAATTGTAAATAGCACTATGTTTTAGGGCCCTAGACTAGGAATTAAAACTATATCTGGGCTGCTTCCTATCAGTGTGCTTTTGAACATGCTTTTCTTTTTATCATATGTACAAGTGAAGAATTATCTATAAAATATGGATAAAAGTACCTGCCCTGGTAGTTTCCCAGGATTGACACATTGTTCAAATTATGCAATATATGTAAAACACTTAAATTTTTTAAATTTTTGGACATTTTTAAGGCAACTATTTCATTATCACCACCACCACTACTTGGATGGGAAATCGCCACTTTTTGCCTTATTTATTTGAGTCAATTTTAAACAGAATTCTTGTTTAAAATTATTGCATGCTCAAAAACATTTTGATCACTTGCCAGTTTCTTAGGCATCTCTTTTTGGGAGTCCTTAGGGCAGTCATTTATCTTTCTTCTATTCCTTACTTTGGAGACAACTTTTTCCGTAAATAGATACCTGTGGATATTCATCTTTAGAGAAACCCAAGTTACTTATCAGAGAGTTATTTTATTTTTTTCAAAAACAGCTTATGTCTAGCAACTATCTATTCCTTCTTTCTGCTTCATTGTTAAGAATTAGGAGAAGCCTTCTAAAACAGTTTCTTTACCTAACTCTGGAGCAACATTAGGAACTAGAGAAGGGACTGTGTGTTTCCTAGTCATTTCAGGATATGTGGATGCACTTATTCCTCCCTTATGTCATGTCCTTTGGAAAACTTTTGAATTAAAAGTCATCTCCAATGCTCCAAATGGCATCATAAGACAGATGCTGTGATACCTGCTGTCAGGAATGCATGTATTACTGTCAGATAAATGAGTTTACTGGCAAGTAATTGGGTTATTCATTAGTTCCTGAGTTTTCACACAGTATATTGTAGCAATAATGGTAAACTAAAAAAGAAAAAAGTAACCTGTGTCTGTCCAGCCTAATTACTGTATGTATGCTGATCTTCTAAACCAGTGTTTTGTTGTTGTTGTTTTTATTTTTATTTTTTTTGGTGAAGAACTCTTAAATGAACCAAACAAATAAGACATAGATACATACATATTCACCATGTGCTACCCCTGAACTGAGGTTTGTAAGCCAGAATACTAAACTAATTAAAATGTGAAATAAAAATGTTATGATCAAATATAAAGGTATTATTTTATACATTTTAGGCAATAATATTGAATGTGTAGGTTGTATTAAACTTATACCCCATAATTTCTTCTTTTTAATTCATTTTGCAAATATTTATTGAGTGCCTACTATGTGTTTATCATTGTATAAGACATTAGGAATGCAGTGATAAGCAAAAGATGCAATTTCTGCCCTTGTTGAGCTTTTAATTTCGAAGGGTTATATGCATACAAGTAAATGAACATTTGTGATATAGCATGGTAGGTGAAATGTAGGTAGGGGAAATGTAGGCTGCTAAGAGTAACTAAGTAACTGAGAAAGGATTAAGAAAGACTTCCAGGAAACATGTTTTATTAATTTTATCTTTTATGTAGATAGATTATGCAGGTGTTGGATCAGTCTCCTGTTCAGTTTCTAACTTCTCTATTTTAAAAAACAGTGATAACTTACTTTCTTTGTAGTTACCTTTAATGAGATTCATCTGTTGTTCCCGAGCAAGACCCGGTTTCTGAATCATTAATTTTTATTCTAATAGAGCATTTCTTTCCAAAACTTATATATCGTATCAGAGTATCTGTATAGTTTGTATGCTTACAGGATACACATACTGCAAGTAATGGTTGCTGTTGGGAAAGGAGACTGCTGTTTGCCTTCTATAATCTAAATTATTTGAGGTAAAAATATTTATGTCAGAGGTCAGTGGGACATGAATCAGTGTCTGTAAGAGTCACTAAATTTAGAGCTCAGTGGGCTTAAAAATTAGTGTATATATTTATAAATGTAAATATTGCAGGGAGAAAAGCTACTGTGATTTTTGAGTTCCTTAAATATTATTGTGTTTTCTTTAAGTAGAAGATATTTGGCTAGTGATTTTAGTTGAGTAAAGCATAATACTAAAGACTATACAATAGGGGTTAGCAGTCTTTTTCAGTAAAGGTAGTAAATATTTTATATTTTTAAGGCCATATGGTTTTTATTGCAGCTGTCCACCTCTGTCCTGAACAATATGTAAATGAATGGGTAGGGCTTTGTTCCAGTAAAGCTTAATTTATAAAAACAGTCCATGGGCAGGATTTGGCTTATAGCCTGTAGTTTGCTAACCTCTGCTCTAAGATTAATGTTTTGATTTCCACTTATAAACTAGGTGTCTTTGTTCTGTTTGAAAGCCAGGAATAGCAGTTTTACTCTGATCAGCCTCTTCCAAATGAGTGCCCTGCTCACAGATACAAATTGACAAACAATGGAAAAAAATTCATTCAAAATGAGTGAACATGAAAGCAATATTATGAAATGTGTGCATTTTAAACTGGATTTTTTTTTTTTTACTATTTTTACCTTCAAGAGTAGGCTACCGGATCAAGCTTTGGTTGTACCTGATGGCACATAATTTTAAACATTTTCATAAAAGAGAAAAAAAAAAGTATACATGTTTTTATATTCTAAATATATAAACACCCACCCACATGCACAAACACACACAAATCAACATATAGTAAGGAATAAAATTTGAGAGTCATATAATGATTTAAGAATTCAGTTATGTTAGGCCTGAGTTTAAAAGTTCTGGCTCTGTTAGCTATGTGACATTGGTTAAGTTTCTTGAACTCTTAAGTATTTTGGTTACCTAGTACCACTCTGAAAGGAATATACCACAAGTGGAATGGCTTGAACAAACAAGAGTTTATTCTTGTACAGTTTTGGAGGTTAGAAGTCTGAGTTCAAAGTGCCAGGCTCTAGGGGCTGGGTGAAAGTTCCTAAACCTTGGGTGTCAGCTCTGCCTCTGGCTCCCGGCCCACTGAAGCGCGAAGGCTTTCT